TCTACTAGGCCTCATCTCTTAAAGGTTCCATTACCTCCCAATAGTGTCATTCTGGGGATCAAGCCTCAACTCATGGGTCTTTGGAGGACATTTCAGATGAAACTGTTAGTAGAAATGAACAGATAATTTCTAATACATGTTATTTTTATTTTTTAAACAATATTTGGTTGTTTTTTTCCTCCTCTCAGCCTGTTCTGTGTTTTATGCATGATACTTCATAAAGTAACCATACAGATTGTTTTGAAGTCTAAAAGTTCTGTTTTCTTCTGTAGTCGGATGCGTAGTGATGGTTTTGATGAAGAAAGTCAAAGAGACTACTGGAGGCCAAAGAATGAAATTGCTGGGACTCTGGAAGATGATTTTCTGAAAGCTAAATCCTGGAATAAGAAGCTATATGATTATGAAGCTAACATGCCAGACAGGTTTGTGATTAATTTTTTTATAATCTTTAATGGTATTTGGCCTGAGAATATGTACTTGAGAATTAGTGACCTAACAAAAACCTGGTCACAGGTGTTTATAGCAGCTTTGTTCATAATTGCCAAAAAAGTAGAAACCCAAATATTTCCTGATGAATTGATAAACAAAATGTGGGATATCTGTACAAGGGGATATATTTTTGGCAGTAAGAGGAATGAATTACTGATATGTACTACAACATAGAAGAACCTTAAATCTTATGCAAGATGAAAGAAAAGCCAGACACAAAAAGTGACATGATTTATTTTTACATGGTATGTCCAAGATAGGCAAATGAGTAGAGATTGATAGCAGATTAATAGTTGTCATGGGTTAGAGGCACCACATTTTGAAAGGGCAAATTTCTCGGTATGTGAATTATATTTCAGTAAATATTTTTAAATTGCTGTTATTTAAGAAAATAATTGCCCCAATGACATTATTTTTTGGGAAAAGTGCTTTTTACCTAAAGAGCAGTATCTTAAAAAAGAATGGATAATTCTTTTACAAATGGACAGAGGAATCCTTTGTGTCTGAAATGATAGTGTACAATACAGAAAATGTAGCTATTACTGAGCTATAATAAGGATATGGCTGTACTATATGTCTATTTTCTTTGTCCCATGTGTATGAATGTGTATATATGGCATAAATTAATCTTTTTAATTTCCCAAAATGTATGCATTGCTTTAACAATATAATGTGTCACCTTACAGATGGGGTCACAGTGGTTATAAAGAATTGTACCCTGAAGAGTTTGAAACAGACAGGTAAGGTAATTAGGTTTACTGAAAAAGAAGTTGAAAATTAAGGTAGCATAAACAGTCTATATTATAAATTGCCTTCCTAATTTTTTAAAATATTTGCCACTGAAAATGTAGCTAGAATTAGGTGTGGTGGTTTATACTTTTAGTCCTAGCTATTCCGATGTTTGAGGCAGTAGGATCACTTGAGCCCAGGAAGTGAGACCAGCCTGGTCAACATAGAAAGCCCCTATTTCCTGCCCCCACAACAACAACAACAACAACAAAAAAAGATTTGGTTGGGAGGCAGTCCCTATTTTGTCTGTTTTTGATTGATATTTGGCGTATTTGTAAATATTTTGATTTTTATATATAATAGTCCTTCCCTATGTATGGTAGATGTGTTCTAAGACCTGCAGTGGATGCCTGAAATCTCAGATAGTACTGAACCTCAAGCACTATATTACTCTTTTTTTTTTTCCTGCACATAATACGTACCTGTAACAAACTTTTATCTTTTATCTTTTCACTTAAAGGAAGCATTTTATGGCTTCTCTTTGGTATATCTGAACTGCCAGCATCACTACTCTTGTGCTTTGGGGCCACTGTTAAGTAAAATAAGGTTTACTTGAAATAAGCACTGCTGTACCATGATAGAGCTGATAACCCAGATGGCTTCTAAATGACTAAGGGTTGGGTAGCTGGACAAGGTGATTTGCATACCAAGTGGGACAAAGAGGGACTGTGAGGAATTTCATCATACAACTCATGCAATTGAAAACTTGTGAATATTTATTTCTGAAATTTTCCATTTAGTATTTTTGCCCTATGATTGGCCAACAAACCACAGAAAATGAAACCATGGATAAGGGGAGACTGGTGTTTAACTATTCTGTACAATATGGTACAATATTAGAATTTTTATCTTCATTTTAAAGATGAAACAAATACTCAATGTAAGTGTGTAAGACTCATAGTAATCCTTTGTCAAAATTGATTTAAAATTCAAATGTTAACAATTTCTTATCTAGAATGCAGAATATTAAAATGTTTATGTGTACCTTTTCTACATAAAAGATTCTGGTTTTTTTTTTTTATTTGTTTGTTTTTAACTCTTATTAGTAGTGATCAGCAAGATATTACCAATGGGAAAAAAACATCTCCCCAGGTAAAATCATCTACTCATGAATCCCGCAAACATAAGAAGTCAAAGAAATCTCACAAAAAGAAGCAGAAAAAAAGATCACACAAAAAACAGAAGAAAAGCAAGAAGGAAGCCACAGATGTACATACAGCAGATTCCTCAAGCGAGTTCTCAGAAGAAACTGGGGCTTCTAGTACCCGGAAAAGAAAACAGCCACATAAGCGCAAGAAAAAATCTAGGAAAAAGTCTCTCAAAAAATCTGCTTTATTTGTAGGGGCAGAAAGTGACACTTCCCAGTCAGATGATTCAGCATCCAGCAGTTCTGAGGAGAGTGAGGAAAGAGACAATGAGAAAACCAAAAGGAAAAAGAGAGAGAAAAATGTCCATATCCCCGTAGTTAACAATGAAATACAGGAGAGGACAAACAAACGCACAAATTGGAAAGTGGCTACAGATGAAAGGTCTGCGGAGAGCTCAGAGGATGACTAAATGGGAAACATTCTTGTATTTCTCATTTGACTCTGGTTATTTACAGCTCTTACACCTGGAGTTTTGCCAGTGACTCCTTCAGCACAGGGGGTCTGAGGTCAGAGCTGTCTTGTGCCATCTATATGTTTTGACAGACTCCTGTCTTCTGTTTTGGCCTGTTAAACTTGATCCCCTTTTCTTGTTAATAGGGAATCTGGTATTTTGTTATGAAGGTTTCTTGAAGAGATTATTTTTTTGCAATTAATCACATTTAGTGTAGAGGACATATATAGTAAATTAAAGAACCCAGAAAGCTGAATCCAATAATGACCTGGGTACACCAATTGGAATGTTGAAGTTGGGGAAACTGAGGGCTAAGATCAAGAGGGATTGATTGGAAAGCAGTGTTAAGTAGAATGGTTTGATAAAGCAAACACTATGTTTATACAGCAGGTATCCTAACTGATTTGTCTTCAGCCTTGGTGCTTTGATCCTTGGGGTTTTTTTGACCCCACAACTGTGGTCTGGTTTATTTAATGAGAAAATGGCTTAAGAACAAACTGTTTCATGTTAAGATCCAAAGACAACTGTTAAAAGAGAGTCTAGGGTTTTCCCAAATTTCCCTGCTGGACAGGATCTATAGCTACACTTAGTATACTTGTAACACATGGTAACTTAATAGTAAATGGTTTTCTAGTTCCATTGCTGTATATTGCCTAAACAGACTTGTGTTCAAAATTATTTCTTCAGTTGTCATAACATCTACCAAATGGGGAAGAATTAGGAATTAGTTATGCTAATAATGCTCTGAAAGGGATTCAGGGTAGCAACAGCCATCTAAATGTCTAAATATTGTCCCCACCCCCCAGTCTGGGGATTGTTCCCAAGGTCTTATGCATGCTAGGCAAGCACTCTACCACTGAGCTATACTCCCAGCCCTTTGTCATCCTTGTTTGTTTCTAATTCTAGTAATGAATTTAGATTTTCCCTGAAACTAAGTTGAATCAGTTCCAAAATGAAACAGGCTTCTCAGGGACATATCTACTTCTTCCCACTCTGCCTTTTTGAGTTAAAGCACCAAGTAAAGACCACATTATTTCTCTTTGCCATACTGTGATCCCTACTGTTATTTCTTCAGAAACCAAAATATCACTGAGAAAAGGCTGGCAGAACACAGGTGAATTTTTCATTATGGGAGAAAAGGTCAAGTGGCATATTGTCATTTTCTTCCTTATTGTCACTTTATGAGCTAAGAAAAAGGCTTAAAAACTCAAGACTTTTGGTCTTAGTTCTGCCATTAATCAGTTGTAAGTTCTAGAGCAGCTTAAGTTAATCTCCCTGGCCTTTCCCCATGTGTAATAGAGAAGTACTTCATGGTAGCATGACAATTTAAGACACCAGCAATAGAATACAACTATGATGACATTCCATGAAGTTTATTTTATAGTTCTAACTACTAAAATTAGTTCTCTTTATGGAACAATTTCTAATAAATGCTTGGTTTTAAAATACATGGTTGGCCAGAGGTGCCCTATCCTTTGATTATGAGTGGGTGCTACCTTTTGGGATATTTATTTGAAATACTAATACTTTGGTACTCAGTTGTCAATGTTCCATGGTATATATTTTTTGTCCTTGGCATAAGTGGAAACCTAATAGGGGGGGTAAGAAGAGTCTTTTAATTACTACCTCTTAACCTTCTTGGAGCAACTGAAGTCTTTGTTGGAAGGAGTTATTAGTGTGTATTTTTTTAGCATTGTTTTGTGCTCTTAAGTACTGATTGAAAGCACAGATTTGGGAAAATGAGCCCAGTAGAATAAGGCACCTCCAGGAAGTTGGCTCTTTGGGTCTTGACCTTTCCCTCCTACCATACTAGCAGGCTTATCTCTTTCCCAAGGAATACATATTTTGCCTGTTTTTTTTTTTCCTTTCCATGTTTTATCTTTTCTTGGTCAAGTATAAGCAATAAAGCTGTTTTGTTATTCATCTTTCAACTCCAGATTCTCTTCTATGCCTTAAGCTAAGACTTTGATCTACTTCCAACCCTTTTAACTATGGCTTAGGGTGGCTCTTCAAAACCTATCATCTCCTATTTGCACTACTAGCCTTGGAACATGTTTATTTCTATTGTTCCTGCCAGATATCTCAATATTAAATCCTAAAATGAAATTTAAAGGAAAAAAAAAAAGTTGGAGAATTCATGTTTATTGAATAACTGGTGTGATACAACCTGGAATTTCTGAATTCCAAATAAATAAAATTTCACTTTTTGAACATTCGATCTGTTACTTTTTAGCACCAACAAACTTGGTAACAGCCTGATGCTGACTTGACAATCAGTTGACAATTCCTCCCCCACTTGCACTTCAATCTGCTTAATAACAAGTCCACTGCTTTTGTCATTTTCTTAAGGGGTGGCCTACTGCCCTCCTTTCTGTACAATCTGGGCAAACCGACTGGTGATGGCAAGAGTAGTGTCAATGAAGCGGTCCACACAGCTAGAGAGACAATTTTCAGTTCGAGAGTCTAGGCGATTCCCTGGCTTCTCCACACATTTATCCCAACATAGCTCCATGAAGTGGTGCACCTAAGGGGTAAGAAAAATATTAACCATTGGGGTCTGTAGATAACCCTAAGTGATCACTCTCTTACTTCTTTATTTTCAATTTCCTCACAAAACCATCCTTTCAACCAATGAACCATGGGAAATCACTTTGGGCTCTTTGTTACATGTCTCCACTTGGCCCAGATCCTCATCCCTACAGATGGTAAATTCTCAGGTAGTGCTAATACCTTCTTTAATATCCCCCAAGGCAGCCAGCACAAGGTAAAAACAGGAAAGTAGCAGCACTCATTCAGAACCTGTGCCCTGAAGACAATGTTAGTTCTTAACATTGTGGGGGCCATGGAAACATTAAGAATACGGACGGATTCATTCTCCAGAAAAAAATGCATATATGGGCACAGAAAAAGTGTGCATTTTCAGAATATTCAAGACCCAAAAATTTCTAACAGGTTCTTGCTACTCTTCCTGCATAGTTGCCTCCTCCTACTGCCCAGCAAAAGGGACAAAATAAACATTTACCCGAGGTATTATTGAGAGGCTAGGTACTAAATAACTCTAATTATAATGTCCAAGGTCATGCAGCCAGCAAAGGCCACGCTGGGGTTTGAATCTCCCCTTAAGTTCTCCAAAACAAAACAAAACCCTTGCTTTGCAATGAATTCTTTTTTTTTTTAACATTTTTTTTTTAGAAGTAGTTGAACACACAATATCTTTATTTTTATGTGGTGCTGAGGATCGAACCAGGGCCTCACACGTGCTAGACTAGTGCTCTACCGCTGAGCCACAATCCCAGTCCTGCAATGAATTCTTAAGAGCTGAGCTTTCTCCAATAATGTTTTAGTGCCCACTATTTTCAAATACATTATCGCAAACGATCTTCACCAATCCACAGAGGCAGAAAGCTACAATGAAATCAAAACAAAGTGGGTGGGTGTCTCGCCTCCTGGCACGTGGCCTTCAAAAGGCAGAGGCAGATGGGAGCCCACACGGTCCCCTGGCTGGTAAGGATCCCATGCTTTTAAGTTCTATCCCCTACCTGAGCACTACTGCAGGGGACCGGGTCACAGCCGGGATCCAGCTTCCAGTTGCCTCACCACTTCGTCAGTAATACAGAGCTCCACGGGTCCGGGACCTGTACTTCACCTTCCTTTTCTTACAACTCCCAAGGCTCATCCCGGCCCTCTCACCTGTGCAGTGAACTGCGCTTTCTGCTGTTCAGCGGCTACCAGGCGCTGTAACTCCGCTTCGTCCGCCTCCCCAAGCTCCGCCATTCTCAGAATCAGACTCGGGTGAGTGAGCGTGCGCAGTGAGTGCGCCAGACTCCTACTTCCGGTTCACTTAGCGTTTTTCTCCGCGTTTCCTGTGGTCGTTGTGGGGTGGGAGTTGTCGCATAACTGCTTCCGGGTTGATGGACGACCTTGAGCCCTCAAAAGCGAGATGGCGGTTCTCCTGAGGCTCGGTGTCCTCTGCGGTGCTCAGGGAGGCCGAGGTGAGGGGTCCTGGCAGGTAGAGTTGTTTAGCGCAGCCTCCAACCGAGGAAGGGGATGGGAGTGAAGACTCTTCTGACCTGTGGGGAGACATCTTGAGTAGAAGGTCTTCCCTCTCTGCTGCGCCTCAGGCCTCTGTGCGAATCACCGCAGTGACCACTGTGGCCTGCGGGCCCAAATGTTCACCTGAGCGCGTATCACACCTGTTTAAGGCTGAAGTGGTAATGGGGTAATTTGGAAGAAAGTTCCTCTGGAAGTTACAGTGTTCCCGAGGATATTCCACATAGGAACTCTTTGTTTTTTCTTACCTTGTACCAGGAGAAAGAGTCCCAATGCGTGGTTTCTCAGGTTTCTCCTAACGAGTTGTGTTTAAGAGTGATGTAGGGGATCAGTTCGATAATCTTGTAACTGGGCATTTATGTTCTACCAGTGCTGAAGTAAGGCTGGATACAAGTTTGAATAAGACGTAACGCCTGCCCTCGAAGAACTTTCATTTTTTAGGGAAAATGTTGATAACAATAATCTAACATAAAGCAAAAATTTGTTGTGTAAGTAAATTGTTATGTGAGTTCAGAGAAGGAATATTTTTAGCTGTAGTTTGGAAGGATTACCCTGTCTTGGTTTTTTTTGTTTGTTTTTGTTTTTGTTTTTACTACTAGGGATTGAACCCAGGGGTTCTTTACTAATGAGCTACATCCCCAGCCCTTTTTGCTTTTTATTTTGAGACTGGGTCTCACTAAGTTGTGGCGGCTGACCTGGAATTTGAGATTCTCCTGCCTCAGGCTCTTGATTTGCTGGGATTATAGGCGTGTACCACCCCTCCTCTCTTTCTTACTTTCTTTTTTTTTTTTTCTTAAAGATCCAAGATTTAATAATTTAATAATTATGTATTATTGTTATACATAATTTTGGGCTTTTTTATTATATATTTATGCATGCACACAGTATAACAGTGTTATTTGGCCAGTACTTGGCTCCTAAAGAGGTATGCCTGATTTGAGTCTTGAGGATAAAGAAAGTAAGGAAATAAGGGTCTGCTGAAATGAGCAAAAACAATGATGAAGGCATAGAATCTGCATGGTATGAGAGAAAACAAATAGTGTGAGAACATGAAGATCAAGGTGAGAAATGAGTTTAGAAATGTGAAGTGAAACTGAATCATAAAAGAATCCATCCTTTTTTAAAAAATATTTTTTACTTGTACATAGACAAATACCTTTATTTATTTTTATTTTTACATGGTGCTAAGGATCAAACCCAGTGCCTCACAAGTGCTAGGCGAGCACTCTACCACTCAACCACAACCCCAAGAACTGATCTTAATATAAGATTGTGTGCCTTACCTTATTGAAGTGTAGCTTTTGTTTGTTTGTTTGGTTTGGTTTGGTTTTTGTTTTTTGTACTGGGGATCAAACCCAGGGTGCTTTACCATTGAGCACATCCCCATTCCTTTTTATTTTGAAACAGGGTCTCATTAAGTTGCTTAGGGCTTTGATAAATTGATGAGGCTAGCCTTGAGCTTACAATTCTTCTGTCTCAGCCTCCCAGGCTGCTGGCATGCACCACTGTGCCTGACTTTTTCTTTCTTTTTTTCTTTTTTTTGAGACAGAATCTTCATATTTTTGTCCAGGCTGTCCTCCAACTCCTAAAGGGTTGCCATTGAAATGTTTGTCAGGGGCTGGGGATGTGGCTCAAGCGGTAGCGCGCTCGCCTGGCATGCGTGTGGCCCGGGTTCAATCTTCAGCACCACATACAAACAAAGATGTTGTGTCCGCTGAGAACTGAAAAATAAATATTAAAAAATTCTCTTTCTCTCTCTCTCTTAAAAAAATAAAAAAAAAATGTTTGACAGATTTGCAATTTAAACTTATCAATTTGGTAACAATATAGTACATGGCTCTGATGGAAGATATAGTAGACTCAGATACAAGTCAGGGAGACACTGTGGTAGAAGTCTGGGCGCAGTGTCGTCTCCCTGAGTTAAGATGGAAAGAAAAGAAAGAAAGAGCTGGGAAAGTGTGTGCGGCATTTCTTAAATGACATGGGATTAAAGTAAGGGTTAAGTATATTACATTGAGGGAAGATAGCCAAATGGAAGGAGAAATTAAAGATACAGGAGATAAAATAATAATGAATTCTTGTGTGTCTTCAATTTTATGAAAACTGTGCTAAATCCCTTATATATATTATCAATTTTTTAACATTGTGAAGTAAGTACTATTATTCTTTAACAAATGAGGAAATTGAGGCTTAGAGACCCCATTTAATTAAGCTGATTATTATGTCAGAGGTAAAAAGTGGTGCACCTGGGTGAATTAGGTCTATTTTTCCACCAAGAGATAGGGTCCAACAGGGATAGAAATGGTTCGACAGTATTAAGTAGAGACATTGGTCTTGAAATGGAAGAAGTTAATATGTGAACTTTTCAGACTGGACTGAATTCTTCAAGAGCAGAGACTTTGTCTTTTATCTGTCTTGCTCCTGAACCAAGCATAGTCTTGATTTTAGTAAATATTGGATAAATAGATGAGAATAGAGAAGAAGCTACCTTTTTTTTAAGTAGATAAAAGTGAGGTCCTTTTGCATAAGTGTTTCATTGAGTCTTCAGTCTTTTGATGATTACCTGATTGAGTTCATAGTTAACCCAGTGAAATCAATACTGTCTTCATTTTGTAGATGAGATATTATCTCCTGTTTAGGGTTAAGTAGTTTGTTTATTATGATCACTTAGAAAGTCTGTCAGTTCTGTTAAAGAAGAGGTGCTTATGATCCCTGTAATGTTTCTTTCCTCAGCTCTGTTCCTCCGAACCCCATTGGTCAGACCTGCTCACATCTCAGCATTTCTCCAGGACCGACCTACCCCAGGATGGACTGCAACACAGCACATTCACCTGTCACCAAACCGCCATTGTATGTTTTTCCATCACTGCTGTTTTCTTGGCTCTAACCTGGGTTCATTATCATGTCTTTGGTAGGGCTTGAGGTCTATTAGGGGGACTCTCCTGTCCACCTGTATCAAATGAAGAGCTAATTTTAGGCAGACAATGACAGCATAGTTGAATAATATACCATTTATACTCAGAGAGAACCTTCTGGCCTAATTAGGTCTTTAAAATTTTTTAAAAATTTCTTTAAAAAGGAAAATGCTTAGGAAGATTCTGCTCAGTACAATTTAATCACTTGTGTATATTTAGCTAATGGATAGGAGCCAGATGTAGATAATTGAGACAATTTAAAAAGTCATGTCCGTGCACTGTAATGTGTATTTATAGCTGGGATTTTTTTTTTTTTAGGTTACTTTAAAACCATATGGCATTTCTTAGAGGAATGCTATTTAGTATTATTCAGATTAGTCTTAGAAAATCTGAAGATGAACTGGATGTGGTGGTGAACACCTGTAATCTCAGCAACTCAAGAGGATGAGGCAGGAGGATTGCAAGTTTGAGGTCAGCCTCAGCAACTTAGTGAGGCCCTAAGCAACTTGTCTTGAAATAAAAAGGACTGTGGTTGTAGCTTACTGGTGTAGGGTCTTTGGGTTTGATCCCTAGTACCTATCCCCACCCTCCACCCCCCCCAAAAATGAGGAAGTAAATAATGACCCAACCATATTTTTATTTTTAAAGTCTGGAGAGATCAGTGATTGGCTTTTGGGGAGTGGCAGTTAGTAACCAGTGACTGAACCCAGTGGTGCTTAACCCACTGAGCCACATCGCCGGCCCTTTTTTATATTTTTATTTTGAGATGATCTCGCAGAATTGCTTTAGGACTTCATTAGGTTCTGAGGCAGGCTTTGAATGTGCAGTCCTCCTGCTTCAGTCTCCCAAGCTACTGGGAACAGTGTTTTATATAAAGACTTCACTCATTAGTTATGAGAGCCTAAGTGAGAATAGTTTTTCTGCTTCTTCTTCCTATTATTGGTGATTGAATCCAGGGTTGCTATACCACTGAACTATATCCCCAGCTCTTTTTATTTTAGTTTGACACGTGGTCTTGCTAAATTGCCCAGACTTGCCTCAAACTTGTGAGCCTCCTGTCTCAGTCTCTTACATCATTGGATGATAGGCATATACCACCATACCCAGCTTTGAAAAAACTTTTTGTTTGTGGATTCCTTTGCTTAGTATGGTTGGATTTAGCAAAGTGGTTCTGGAGTACACAGGGCTGAAGAAAAGTCTCTGAAGTTGTATACATAAATATGTATTTATGTACATTTTTCTGGGAAGAAACTCCTCCATCCTTTTATTAGATTCCCAAAGGGGTCTGTAACCAAAAAAAGATAGTCTTTCAAAGAGATATTTAAAGTCCCTACTGTTTTTTACTTTAATAAGAGTTTTTTTTTTTTTTTTTAATATTTATTTTTTAGTTTTCGGTGGACACAACATCTTTATTTTATTTTTATGTGGTGCTGAGGATTGAACCCAGAGCCCCGCGCATGGCAGGCGAGCACGCTACTGCTTGAGCCACATCCCCAGCCCCTAATAATATTTTTTGTGTTTCATTTGTTTTGGACTTATTTGTAAGTCCAGGTCAGAAGAAGGACCATGATCTCTGAAGTTGACCTCAGACCTTTGCTTTGCTTTGAGTTGGTAGATTTAACTTTATTTTTCAGAGGATAATACTACATTACTTGCAAAGGTTAGAAGGTCTAAAAAAACAAGTAATTCCTCAGATGTTGCTAACTTATATTCATAAGGTACCTATTTCACTGAAGTCCAAGGTTGGCTTAATTCTGCCTTCTTGCTAATAAGCAAAGTATGTTTGTCTTCTAATTAATATGTATAGGCATGAGACACCCTAGTGCTAAAAGACTTCAACAAAGGAATGTTCTTTCTCTCAGTGACCTGTTTTTATATCTTAATCTCTTTTTGCTCAGTTAAATGTTGCATGTATACTGTTTGCCGTTCTCTCATTTTAGGTTATTATGTGCTAAATGTTGAACATGAGAGCTGTGTGTCTCTTCTCTTTTTTTTTTTTTAATTTTTTTTCTTTTAGTTGTACACAATACCTTTATTTTGTTTATTTATTTTTATGTGGTGCTGAGGATCGAACCCAGGGCCTCGCACGTGCTAGGTGAGCGCTCTACTGCTGAGCCATAACCCCAGCCCTCTTCTCTTAACTCTATGGAATTTGGTCTGTTTTTACAGCTGGTTCCAAGGCTGCATCTCTTCACTGGACTAGTGAGAGGGTTGTCAGTGTTTTGCTCCTGGGCCTGCTTCCAGCTGCATATTTGAATCCTTGCTCTGCAATGGACTACTCCTTGGCTGCAGTCCTCACTCTTCATAGTCACTGGCAAGTATAACAGTCTCTTCAGTATTATGTTGTCTGCTCAGTTTGCTTGGCTTGTGAGTTTTGTATTGTATATGAGGGAGAAGTTGATTGAGATATTCAAGACTTGTAGAAAACTATATATCCAGATACATATATTCATTGTCTATTTGATGTTTTCATTTTCATATCTAAACAGGCTTTTGAATATAAATAAAATTGAGTTCCTGTCTTTTCCAAATCTGGTCCTCCTGTACCCTTACCTATCTTAATTGACAATGTTTCCATTTTGCTTCTGTTTGTTCAAGTCAAACCTGATCTCATCCTTAATTCCACTAGTAATCTCCTAACTTCTTCCTTTACTATCTGTTCCCAACACAACATATCCAGTGATCCTGTTAAAATATTAAGTTAGGAAAAGACATTCCCCTTATCAAACCCTTTTTTATCTCCTAATCTTACTCAAACTAAAAGAATTTTTCAGTGCTCTGCAGACTGTACATGACCTAGGACATGGTGGCATATGCCTATAGTCCGAACTATTATTGGGGAGGCTGACAGGAGATTTTTTTTCTAATTTAAATAGAGATTGAATCTAGGGGCACTTAACCACTGAGCTACAGCCACATCTCCAGCCCTTTTTATTTTTTATTTTGAGACAGGGTCTCACTAAGTTGCTTAGGGCCTTGCTTAATTGCTGGCCTCAAACTTGTGATCCTCCTCCTTCAGCCTCTTGAGTCTCTGGGATTACAGGCATGTGCCACCACATCCAGGTGACAGGAGAAAATATTGAGTTCAAGATCAGCCTGGGCAACATAGCAACACAGTGTCTCTCTCCATCTCCTCTCTTTTTGTGGTACTGGGATTGAACCCAGGGGCACTCTTAGAAGTGACCTACATTCCCAGCCGCTTTTGACTTTTTAATTTTGAGACCGGGTCTTGCTAAATTACTCAGCTAGCCTCAAACTTGGGACTTTCTCCTGCCTTAGCTTTCCAAGTAGCTACTATTGCAGGTGTGCACCACCATACTTGGCAAGACCTGTCTCTAATAAAAATAAGTAAATAAATAGATTCTGCCCTCAGACTTTACATGATCTGGTCCTCTGCTTCCCTCATCTCCAGCTATTCTTTTTTTTTTAATCAGATTATCCTTTGATATTTCTCAAACACACTGGGGACACTTCAGGCTTCAGGGCTTTACTCTTTTTTTTTTTTTTCTTTAAGTTGTAGATGGACACATACCTTGTATTTTATCTATCTATTTATTTATTTAATTTATTTTTATGAAGTGCTGAGGATTGAACCCAGTGCCTCACACATGATAGGTAATCACTCTACCACTGAGCCATGACCCTAGCTTTACTCTTAATGTTCTTTCTATCTGAAAGTTTGGTAGTTACATACTTGGCTTGTTCCATCATCTCCTTCACATCTTAAATGTCACTCTTTCAACAAATCCTTCCCAAACTAATTCCTCAGAAGTGTAATGTTTCTTATCTTTTCTGATATTCCTTATCTTTCTGTTTTATTTTTATCAATAGTCTTATAACCTTTTAATATACAATATCAGCTGTTTATTAATTTGTATATTTGTCATTTCCCACCCTTAACACCATAATGAAAGTACAGATTCAGAAAAATCACAAAAATTAGATCTATAGTTTAATGAATTATAAGGGTAATAGCACCCAGATCAAAAATAGAACTTTGCTACCTATTCAAGTAGCCTCTGCGTTGTATTTCATCTCAGTCATAACTGCTCAGTATTCCTTCTCCCTCTGGAATCATTATCCTGATTTTTATAGTAATCACTTCCTTGCATTTTGTCATAGTTTTATCCCTCAAATGTGCATCCCTAGATACTATAGTTTACTCTTGCCTTAAAAAAAATGCATTTTTAAAATTATTTTTATTTGCTCTTGTATCTTTTGTACTTAAAATAGTAGCTGACACATAGCATATTGTGAATACTTGTTGAATGAGTGCATATCCATTTTCCATTTACTTATCTTTTAAGACTTGCTAAGTTAATGAAACGTATAAAGGAGTTTAAATAACAGGTTGAATTTCCTGAGTTGTTTCTTTTTCTTTTCTTTTTTTTTGAGATATTGCAGATAGAATCCAGAACCATGCACATGCTAGGCAAGCACTCTGCCATTGAGGTATACCCCCAGCCCTTTTAATTTTATTTTGAGATAGAGTCTCCCTAAGTTGCCTAGACCGGCCTGGAACTTTCAGTCTCTTCTCATCAGCCTCCCAAATAGCTGGAATTGCAGGTGTGAGGTACCATCACACCTGACTCAGTTGTTGTTTTTCAAGGACAATGTAATATAATTGGTGGGAGGGGGAAGGTGTTTTAAGATTGTTAGAACTAGAAAATCTTGGAATATCTTAACCAATCCTGTGATTCTACCAATGTGGAAACTAAATCCCAGGGAGGTTAAGTGACATGTCAGACTAAATTTCTAACTAATGTTAAAGGGGGGTTTTACTTACCAGGCTTTCTAAGACTGGGTTAAGAAATAAGTATGGTTCCTGGAAGGGAGGTCTATCTAAGAGAATAATCCTAAAGAAATACATTTTCATCTCAGTTGATTTCTTGACTCCATTTCCTTCCATTTACTAATTCTCTTATCCTTTTCACAGAAAAAATTACTTGAAAGAGTTGTGTATGCTCCAGTTCCTCAGCATCTAGTTTCTTTCTTTTTTTTATTTAATACTTTTATTTTGTTTATTTGTTTGTTTCTACGTGGTGCTGAGGATTGAACCCAGGGCCTCGCACGTGCTAGGCAAACACTCTACCGCTGAGCCAAATCCCAGCCCCAGCATCCAATTTCTTTAAACTGTATTAGGCTTTTTTCTCAACAGTTCACTTAAGTCATTCTTACCAAAGACCTTGATCTTTCCAAATCCTGTTGTCTATTCTCTGTCCTCCACTTGAACTTTCAGCAGCATTCAACTCAATTGACTGGTCTCTCCTTAAGTCAACTTTTCTCTTTCTGGATTCTTTGTAGATGTTTCCTCTCAGCTCTTTCTCCTCTTTTCTGATCTCTGAATGATAAAGTCACCAGAGCTCAATCTTGACTTTCTTGACTTTTTTTGTGGGGGAGGGGGTGCTGGCAATTGAAGATTGAACCCCTAGCCTTGTGCTTGCTAGGTAAGCCCCTATCACTGAGCCCTTTAAAAAATATATATTTTTAAAAAATTTGAGACAGGGTCTTGCTAAGTTGCCCGGGCTGGCCTTTGACTCATGATCCTCCTGCTTCAGGCTCCTGAGGAGCTTTTTTTGGTGTGTGTGTGGGGGGGGTGGTACTGCAGATTGAACCCAGGGGCACTTGACCACTGAGCCATATTCCCAGCTCTTTTTATATTTTATTTTGACCGTGTTTTGCTAAGTTACTGAGGCTGGTTCTGTACACACACAGTCTTCTTGCCTCAGCCTTGCATCACCATGCCTGGCTAATCTTGACTTTCTTGATGTTCTATATAGTTTACCCAGACAAACTCAGCTTTGACCTCGTTTCCTGAGCTGCATACTTGTTTATCCCGTTGTCTAATTGACATGTCTATTTGGATGTCTGAGCATCATGCCCAATTTAATATTGCCCAAATCATTCTTTTTCTCTTCCAGATTTCTCTTGATTTCCCCTTAAAACCTCCTCCTCTATTAAATCTAGTTGCTCAATCTAAAAATCCTAGAATTAATTCTAGATATTTCTTTTTGTCTTACCTTTTAGTTTCCATTAGTTCTGTCTTCAAAACGTAGCCTGAATTGTGAGTTAACATCACCTCCTTGGTCAGAGTCTCTTTAAACCAACAGTCTTGCTTAAGTCACTTCAGTTACTTTCTGCTTTTGTTTTTATCTCTTCCTGCTTTCCATTCGCACACAATAGCCAAAGTGACCTTTTTAAAGTTAAATCAGATTTTTCCAAAGAGGATATAAATGGTCAATAAACACAGGAAAAATTGGACAATATTATTTGTCATTACAGAAATGCAGATTAAAAAACCCCACAATGATAAAACTACCAAACACCTACTCAGGATGGCTGTGGAAAAGAAAACGGACAATTACAAGTGTTTCTAAAGATGTAGAGAAGTTGATACTCTCATATATTTCTGCTAGGAATGTAAAAATGTTATACATTTAGATATACCTTAGCAGTTCCAACGAAAGTTAGTAATCATGTTACTCAGTAATTCTACTTTTAAGTGTATACCCAAGAGAATTGAAAATGTTTCCACCTGCAAACTTATATAAGAATGTTTATAGCACATTATAATAGCTAAAAAGTGTAAACAATCCTAATGTTCATCAACTGATAAATACCTGAATAAAATATGGCATACTCATACAATGGAATATTATTCAGCTATACAGAGGAATGAGGTGCTGATACATGCTGCAATGTGGGTAAACATTGAAAAAATGCTAAATAAAAAAAGTTTGACTCAAAGGCCACGTATTGCATGATTTCATTTATATGAAACATTTACAAGGAATAGGCAAATCCAGAGACAGAAGCAAATTAGTTGTTGGGTAATGGCTGATGGTAGAAAGTTTCTATTTGGGGATGACAAAAATATTCTGGAATTAAATAGTGATGATAGTTTACAACTCTGTGACTATAATAAAAATCACTGAATTGTATAGATAAAAAGGTGAAGTTTATGGTATAAATTATATATCAATAAAATTACTATCTATACAAATAGTAAAATTAGATCACTCCTTACTTAGGATCCTCCCTGCTTAAAACATGCTCCTGGTTTCCTATTTCAAATAAAATTTAAATTTCTGTGACTTCAAAGCCCTAAGCAATCTACCTCTGCCTTCCTTTGATCTTTCCTCTTTTCCTTATGTGCTCCAGCTATACTGTTCCTTGTGTCCCCCATACTGTTCTTTGTATGCTCCGCCTATATGTCCTTCAGAGATACCAGTCATTGTCACGTTTATTTGGACTGTTCTTTAAGTCATTCTTTCTAATATATTTCTTCAGTTAATATTATTGCAGCTAGGGATTGAACTTAGAATCTCAGACAAGCAAGGCAAGGGCTCTACCACTGAGGTAGACAATATATATTGTCTAATATATTTCTTCATACTAACACATATATTTAATTTTTTTCTTTCTTCTTTTTAGAATATTTATCCCATAAAGGCATGGAATGATTATTTTCATTTTGTGTACTGGCACATAGTATCTCCTATTCAAATATCAATTTGAATATTTTTCAAATTAATGAAAAGCTCTATAGTTAAACTATAACTATACTTTGTAAACAGGGGAGCATTCAGTTATTGTTTCTGATATAAATGACTCTGGAAAATTGATTTCCAAAGAGTATGAGTATATTTTTATGACATATTACGAAAATCTTGATATTTCTTCATTTTGGTTTATGACTTTTATTACCATGAGTTTGGTTTATTGTCTCAACAAAAATATGGAAATAATTCCACCTATCCCCTAAAGAAGCAAACAGTTACTGGCTGGACAGAGAGAAATTGCATTTTTAAACTACTGGGTTTTTTCTGTTGCTGTTGTTTTTAGATACATTATCTATTAGCCTTCCAACTTCACTCATGTGTGATTTTTTTTTCCCCCCTGTAGGGGCCTTGGACAAATTGTCACTGATTATGTTCATGGGGATGCATCACAGAAAGCTGCCAAGGCAGGCCTTTTGGCACTCTCAGCTTTAACCTTTGCTGGGCTTTGTTATTTCAACTATCATGACGTGGGCATCTGCAAAGCTGTTGCCATGCTGTGGAAGCTTTGACCGTTTTGACTTGAGAATTGATTGTATGCCTCTGCCTCTGCTCTGTCATTCATCTCACAATAAGGAGGAAATAACAGAAAGTTCATTGGTGGGCAAACCTTCTTCTAATCACGTGGTTATTTTAGAATTTAATTGTTGAGGAAGAGGTTTGAGAGGAAATGTATTCAAGAAATTATGAGAACCAGTTCTGCATTCTAGTGAGTTAATGGGGTTGTCTTCAAGTTCATGAGATTCACAGTATGACTAAACTTTACATATGAGCTTTTGCTTTTGTCAGTCTCTTAAAGAGAATTTAGCTTTAATATTATCAGTATATGATCATTTCTGCATTTGTCTTGGAAATAATGGACAAAGGGAAAGACTGTTAATTCATGACTTTGCAAAAAATTAGATGGTGTTTACTTTTGGAAACTTCTCCGTCTGTCCAGTTGATACCAGCTACTGATGGTTTTATGTCCTAGGGAAACTTTATAGGAGATGCTAAAATCTCAAATTACAGATTTCTGTATCCTAGGAAGGAAAGATTGGAAAGCTTCTGAATATAGAGATGCTCAAGTTAGAGAAGAAGTCTTCCTTGTAGACACATCAGAATATTACAAATTCTAAACAGATGTAATTCTCCAATGTGTTTTACTTGTCCTAAAATAATCTGTCCACAAATATAAAACTAATAAATTACTTGCCCACTGTGGGAATTGGTAATAAGAAAATGTATTCCATGAAAAGAGAAATTTTTTTTTAAAATAAAATGTTGTATAATAAAAATGTATTCTACTCTTTTATGTATTAGCTGTGCTTAGTCTTTTTTGTTTGTTTGTGTTTTTTTTTTTTTTAAGTTGGTATCTCACTATTTTGCCAAGGCTGGTCTTGAACTCCTGAGCTGAAGTGATCCTCCTGCTTTCAGCCTCCCAAGTAGCTGGGACTACAGGTGTACACTACTGTGCTTGGCCCTAATTTTATTTATTAGAATTAATTGTTGCATTCATAACTCTAAAATGGAACTGTTTAAGTTTTGTTCTGGGATTTAGGAGTTAAGTAAATCAGACACAAAGTACTATAATGAAAAAGACTTACATGTGATTAGTAGAAATAATAAGTATAAATAGTTTGTTATGAATAGTATATGAAGATTTGTAGTATGAATTAGAAATGTCTAGCTCATGATGATTTGTGAGTGCCAGCTTAAGTGTTTTTCCTAATAATATAGAATATTGAGCTAGCATGTTTCACTCACCGAAGAATTAAAACCAAGAATCAATAAATGAGATGGACTAAAACTAAAAAAGTTTCTTCTCGGCAAAAGAAACAATCTGTGAGGTGAATAGAGAGCCTACATCTTGGGAGCATATTTTTACCCCTCACATATCAGATCACTAATCTCTAGGGTATATAAAGAACTCAAGAGCTAAACACCAAAAAACAAATAACCCAATCAATAAATGGGCCAATGACATGAACAGACACTTCTCAGAAGAGGGTATTGAATCAACAAATATATGAAAAAGTGTTGATCATCTCTAGCAATTAGAGAAATGCAAATCAAAACTATTCTAAGATACCATCTCACTCCAGTTAGAATGGCAGCTATTGTGAAGACAAAACAATAAGTGTTGGCGAGGATGTGGGGAAAAAGGTACACTCAGACATTGCTGGTGGGACTACAAATTGGTGCAGCCAATATGGAAAGCAGTATGGAGATTCCTTGGAAAACTTGGAATGGAAAGCTTCTGAATATAGAGATGACTTCCTTTTGCGGAAGCTGACTTTGAACTCATGATCCTCCGAGTTGCTGGAATTACAGGCGTGCACCACTGTGCCCAGCTAGGAGTCAATTTCTAAAGATAAAGTTTAAGTCAAAACCATTCGTTCATTTCATAGATGTAAGTATCTCATGTAATTGGCACCATGGATAAAAAGGGAATTTTCTCTGACTTTTAAAGGAATTTATAGTTAATTGAGGCAACAGATGAATGGTTACAGTGACAAGTGAAATCATGGTTAAGCACATACTGCTGTGATAAAGTGGACAGTAAGAAATTTGCCTTAAGTTTTCTGGAAAAGATTTTTTAAAATCATTTTTAAAAATCATTTTTAAAAAATTATATTTAAAATATTTTTTAGTTGTAGATGGACACAATACCTTTGTTTTATTTATTTATTTTTTATGTGGTGCTGAAGTTTGAACCACTGCCTCACAAATGCCTTGTAAGCATTCTACCACTGAGCCACAACCCCATCCCAGGAAAGAAGATTTTTGAGCTGGGATAAGAAGCTGACAGTGGCCAAGGAAGCTGGAGGGAGGTGTGAAGACAGGAGGATGGTAGATGAAACAAGACGGCATGTAATTTGGTGTTACTGTAGCAGAGCAAGCAAGTGGTTGTGGGGGAACTTATATGCTATGGCAAATAATTGAGACACTATCTTGATGGTGATAAGGTGTCTTCAACTGAAGACTTAGTTATGCAAAGTACATAGTTAAATTTTTATTTATTTTTGGTACTGGGGCTTGAACCCAGAGGCACTTTACCACTGAGCTACATTCTCCCACCCCCATCCTTTTTTTTTAAAGAGTCTTGCTAAATTCTTAAGACTAGCCTCAAACTTGTAATCCTCCTGCCTCAACCTCCTGAATTGCTGGTATTACAGGTATGTGCCACTTATTTTAAATAAGTTATGCTTGTAGCTGTGTGAAGTATGGATTTGAGGAAGGTAAGCATGAAAAAGGAAACTAATAAGTCAGAACATAAATGATAAATTCAGAAATTTAGTACCCAGAATGAAGGAGACACATTCAAGAGATATTCTGAACTTGGAGTTAACAAATTATACTGGGGTGTTAAAGATAGAGCAAGGAAGAAATCTAGTCTCAAAGTTTTTTGTTTTAAATAGGTGGATAAGAGGTGATCAGAGGGAATTTCTGAAGGGAAATTAATACTGGGAGGGATATGTAATAACTGAGGTTTTGAATTTGTGAGATAGGCCAAGAAGAAAATTTATAGACTTCTGTTTCTGCAATGTGGTGAACAATTTTAGAAAACATTTTAATATGAAGCCTGTAGGAATGTTAACAGGAATACTGTTAAAAACACTTGTAGGGCTGGTGTTACTGCTCAGTGATAGAGTGCTCCCCTCACACGTGCAAGGCCCTGGGTTCGATCCTCAGCACTAAATAAATAAATAAATAAATAAAGTTATACAAAAAATAAATACACTTGTGAGCTTGAAATCTCTAAAGTCAGAGCAGAATAAGCATGCAAGTAGAGAGCTAAGCAAATGCTGAGGGCATCAGTTGTACTGGGAGCATCACCTACTCTAGATGAACTAGAGTTCTGGTCTGGAGATGGAGATACAGGGACCAGGAGCAAATCCTTGGGCTCAGATTGGGGAGTTAGAGCGGAGACTTCATAAATCCAGGAACTATAATCTTACCCTCTCTCTGAGAGTGAATTAGAAAAATTTTTTTACCTGAAAATGCAGAGAGCAGAGAAAAGATGTCTTACCTTGGTTCTGATTGGAGGAAAGAAAGTCTTTGAGAATATGTGGTTAAGGAGCAGTCCACATGTGGTCTGGATCCTGAATTAATACTGTCTGCGTGTCTGAAAAGATTACATGCTACAAATCTAACATTTACCTAGTTGGTAAGACCTGCAGTGCTTGGTAGAAATAAACACAAATCCTCACTGAAAGAAGATTCCCCTAACACAGGCCTCAAAAATCCCTACAATCTTTTGATTAATATGAACTTGCAGAAAAAAATTGTAATCCTTTTTTTTTAAATGCATAGAGGAATACCTTAAGTGAGTCAGCACAAGAAACAGGACCACATCTAAAAAGAATGCAGATCCTGGAATTTTCAGATACACAATATAAACATAAAATAGGTGTAAACCTAAATATAAGTCAGTTGTCTGGTCAGGGATCAGAATGTCTTTGAAGAAGTAGTTTATGCCTGGCAGTCTTCATCCATAAACTCATGAGAAATAACTGTTTACTGAGGAAAGATATTCCTTTCTCTGGAGACCTATTGAGTTGTCAGGGTCACTTCTCAATGGGGCTGGATTTTCAGGTCCTAGGATCTTAAGCACCTTTGTATTAGGCTTCTCCACAGCTGTGTACCTGACGCTTAAGAATTGCATTTCATGTTAGAATCCCCAAACAGCCATTTCTAGTGTGGTTCCAAGGCTTTTATTGGTGTCTTTTTTAGTAAATCTAAGTTTCCCAGTTTTATACATTGCTGGAAGTGATAGAAGGCACAATATATCCAATTCTATCACTTTCAGACATATAATTTGTATAAGATAGAATATGAGATTCATTTTTTATAAAATATAACAAGATCACACCATATCAAAAATCGAATCCTTTAGAAGATGAGTCTAGCCCAGGAAGTCTTCTTATAATAGATCCAAGGGGTCTTCACCTATAATGGTTTAAGATGAGAGAGAAGATATTGAGGGGCTGGGGATATAGCTTACTTGGTAGAGTGCTTGCCTTGCATGCACAAGGCCCTGTGTTCTAATCCCCTGCACCACACACACAATAAAAGATTTTGAGAAATAAATTATAATATCATTAGACATAGGCATAAAACTTAGAATAAAGGAAATTTTAGCCTACTAGAGATTTTGATGTTGTATCAATATTCTCATTTACATCTAAATATTTCTTAATTTCATCCCTGATTTCTTCTGCTATTCCTTTGCCATTTGATAGCATATTATTTCATCTCCGGGTGTTAAAGTAGCTTCTGTTTTTTATTTTATCATTGATTTCTAATTTCATTCCATTTTATCATTGATTTCTAGTTTTATTCCATTATGTTCTGATAGAATACAAGATATTATCTCTATTTTTTTATATTTGCTAAGAGTTGCTTTGTGGCCTAAGATATGTTCTGTTTTAGAGAAGGCTCCATGTGCTGCTGAGAAGAAGGTGTATTCAGTCATTGATGGACGAAATATTCTATATATGTCTGTAAAGTCTAAATTATTAATTGTATATTTTAGTTCTATAGCTTCTTTATTTAGTTTTTGTTTGGAGGATCTATCCAGAGGTGAGAGAGGTATGTTAAAGTAACCTGGTATTATTGTGTTGAGGTCTATTTGATTCTTAACACTGAGAAGGGTTTGTTGGATGTACATAGATGCTCCATTGTTTGGGGCATAAATATTTACAATTGTTATTTCTTGTTGATGTATAATTCCCTTAATCAGTATGAAATGTTCTTCTTTGTCCCTTCTGATTAACTTTAGCTTGAAGTTCACTTTATTGGATAGGAGGCTAGAAACCCCTGCTTGTTTATGAGATCCATGTGAATATGTTTTCTCCCATCCTTTTACCTTCAGTCTGTAATTGGTTTGCTCTGAGGTAGAGGCTGGTTTTTCACAATCCCTGGTACCAAACACACACACACACACACACACACATGAAAGGCCAGCTGGGGTTGTGGCTCAGTGGTAGAGCGCTTGCCTAGCATGCGCAAGACTCTGGGTTCGATCCTCAGCACCACATAAAAATAAATAAACAAAATAAAGGTAGTGTATACAACTGAAAAAAAATTCCTTACTTAAAAAAAATAGCTACGATGAAATATCATTTCTTACTCATTAGAATGACTATTTGTTTTTTTGTTATTTTAAAGCCCAAAGCAGAAAATAATAAATATTAGGGGAGTATGTGGAGAAATGAAATGCTTGTGTAAAGCCACTGTGCAGAGTGTATGGTGGTTCCTCAAAAATAGAATTACCATATGATCCAGTAATTCCACATCAGATTGAATCCACATC